ACATATAAAAGTTAAGAAAAGTTAAAGAAAAAATTTTATAGTAAAAATTCTAATACAAGAACTTTGAACTTTTATTACACTAAAGTTTTTTAGTAATTTTAAAAAATTTTCTTAGCAAAGTTTATAAAACAAATCTAAAATTAAATATTTTACTTAGAAAATATATAGCTAAAATCAATACTTAAAATTTTATTAAAAAAATTAAAATTTTAAAAAGTTTGCAAGCAAATTTGCCTGCAATACAAATTAAGGGATAAGTGTTAATTTGAGACTATATAAGCTGGGTTTGAAGGACTCAATTTTTAAATAATGCTCAAAAGCATTATTTTGCATTTATATGATATTTTAAAAACATATCAGTAACTTGTGAAGCTAAAATTAAATAGTTAGAATTTATAGCATGAATTCTGTTGAATTTTGTTTGTTCATGATTTTTTATTTGAACATAATTCAAGTTTATAACATATAATCTTGTTTACAATATTATTATTAGACTTTAATTCATATATGAAATTTATTCCACCATTTAATTAGTACCATAAGGCAGATTTAAATATCTCTTGTATTTCTGTAACTTAGTTTTGTATACATGTTAGGCTAATCTGAAATCAATATCTTTATATTTATTTCTTTGACAGTCATTTTTCTATAGGCTATTTGTTTGAGTTAGAATTAGTATTTGGCTAGTTTGTAATTCTTTATTGTTAGTAAATTGTGTGCTGCTAAGTAAATGAAAGAGTAATTTTAGATGACATATTTGTACAATGCGGAGCTTATTATATTTATACTATGTGTTAGTTTATATTATACATATAACTTTAATTTGTTGTTTATTAATTAATTATGCTATATAATATAATTTATATTGAGTATTATTTATTGTATATATATTGTATATATAGATGATTATCACCTGTAGTATAAATTAGAAATGTTTTTATAAAAATTATAAAATAATTTTTGCATAAGATATTGATTTTTCTCTATTTAAATTACCAGTTAATTTTCTTATTTATCATTTAAAATTAAATCTTTTTTTTGGTATTAAGATAACCTTTATTGACCTGAGGAATATTTTATTAGAGTATAGATAGAGTTTTATAATATAATTACAACAATGGTACATCAAGACACACATATACTTTTAGTGCCTAATTTAAGTAGTTTGCCTAAAGGTTTTACACTATCTGCTATACCTGCACTCCAACTAGAAGGGTACTCATTTAAACCATCTAGTCCTAACTATCTCTATCTACCTTCTAACCCAATGGGTTTTCTAACTAAACTACTGTAAGTAGATATTGGTATTACTCAAACTAAATTTTGCACTCTGTTTTAGGACTTACTAACCCATATAGACCTAGTTTATTCTTAAAGTAAACCTAACATAGCAGTACATGTACTACACATGTATTTATATGCTTGTTTCTATAACTTATTCCTAATTAGTATATATGGGACTCCCCATAGCAAAAGAAGAAGATGTACAAAAAAATTTAAAAATTTGTTCTTATGATAATTTTATTCTAATCAATCTAATTCTTCAAGGTATGGAATTTTTTTAAAAAAATTTTTTTGGCCTATCTCCTCCTTTTGCTATGGGGTCCCATATTTACTTGCTGTTTCATATTTGTATTTTACACCACCTTTTGGGGTACTGCTATTCTACAGACATTTTTTAAACACCGACTTTCCTAATTAGATGCCCATTATATACTCCTTGCCCTTGTTCTGGTCCCCAACAACCCAGTGTCTGCATTTAGACTATTTTCTTTATTGGTCCTTTCCTTACTTCCAGCTAGCAACCCGGAAGGGTTAGTCTGCCCAGGCTTTAGGTATCTAAAGAATGCCTTTCTCTTGGTCCATATTTTCAGAGTGTATGTTCTTTTTCTCTGGTGTGACAACCTGATAGTTTAACTAGTATGTCCTCCGCCATTAGGACCTGGTTGCTCAGTTCTCTGATCTTGGGCTTCAGTTTGAATTTAGCCCTTCTGTGGTACTATCACAGATCATTGCTATCTCCAAACTCAGGACTTGCCAAATAAGTTTTCAGTTATTCCAGTCCTCTGAATTTATTGTACCAAAGCTTCTATTACTAGATGATATAACCAAGGCTACAGATTAATTTAGATCCAACTAATAGAAAGCTGTTAACCATACACAGGCCTATTTTTCAAAATCGTTGCAAGTGTGATTTGAACTCTAGACCTGTTATTTGAAAAGAGTAACAACTAGACCACTATACTAAGTCATCATATCTCTTCATTTAAAATTGATTTTAATTATAAATATCTTTATATTAATAACAAAAGTAAAATAAATATTTTCTTTGATTAACTTGGTTTTATTTATTTATCTAAATATCAAGTTAATAATGCCTTTGCAAATTTTAAAAACACTTTTCAACTACAAATTTGTAATACTTGCTATGATTTCACAAAAAAAAACAAAATACACTTTTATTCTTAGCTATTCTATTGTGTTTTTAAGAATTAACTATTGTTACCATTAGTTGGGAGAGCAATTGCAGATATTAATCCAATTTAGCTTCGATGGATAACTAGGTTCAGGATTTATGACACTTATACTCGTGATATAATGTCACGAAACACTTAAGTTGAGTCAAGGTTATCACTTAAACAGATCAATCTTCAACTATCGGGGGGTAATTTATTATATAACAATAAAATAAGAAATGCAATATAATAACAATAATAAAGAATAATACAATAATAAAAGAATAAAACTAAACTAAATACATAAACTCCAATACAACATAAGGGGGGAATCCGAATATAAACTATAACTAAAACATCAAAGGGTTCTCCGGATTATAGTCTTTTGAGACATTGTCTGAGAAAAACTTAACTAAGGCAGAAACCCAGGCCTTAAATACCTTTTACTTTACTGAGAACTACTGCGCTATCTCTATTGTTTACAATTCTGCTTAGAATTCTGCTTACAACTTTGTCTACAATTTTGCTTACAATTCTATTTACAATTACCAGAATTGGTCTATATCACTAAGCCTCTGTTATCAGCTTAGAAGCTTCATGATATTCTTGTAGCTCGGGTCATTTAGGTGTTTAATACTACCAAATTGCATGGAAGTTACAGGTTTAAAATTTTAAACCGTGACATACTCCTTTCCTTAAGTGTGAACTTCTGCGAACACTAAAATTTTCCAAAGTTTTCTCCGATAATGATCCATGGAGAAAACCAGTGCTAGACACCAATTCCTTTGCTATAACAATAGCAATTTTGGAAGTATTCCTTATATCAGGTCTTCCATTGGTGTAAATATGGATCTTTAATTCTTGCAACATAGGTAGGTGAGTGGAGAATCGGGAGTTCAAAATTTTTCCAGACCTTGTGCATCTTTGCTCTTATTCTTAGGATAAGATTTCTAAAAGGTTCCAGCAACCAAATTCTGGCACCTCTGAGATCGTTGGGTTCTTTATCTTTCAACCTAGAGATAGCCAATTCGGGTAAAGAGTTTTCCCTATACTCTTGGTCTTGATTTTGCCAGGGAGATAACTTGATCACTTGAATAGATGAACCTCTTTCTTTCCATTTCTTGTTACCCATATCTTCAATCTTCTTTTCATCACTATTACTTTTAACTACAGTTTCTCTATTATTACCAGGGTCATCTATCTCTTCATCCATCTTATTCTTACCTATATCTTCTGCCCTTTTATTGTCCGTTTCTGAACCCTCTACTTGTAAAGATTATATTTCTTGGAGGACTCAGAAAATTCTATGTCTTTATTATATAGATCTATTTTTCTTACCTATATCCTTATAATTATATTCTGCAAACATATAATTATTTCTATCTTCTACTTCACTATCTCCATTATCTATTGAATCATCTATTTTTACTAATTCTCCAGACTGATTTACTTCTGGTTCTGAAGTTGATCCAATCTTTAACAATTGTCCAAAAGTAATATCAGCCTTTTGGGTTTCTATATCTGCTATGCAACATGTAATACAAGTGGTGGTGCTTCTTCTTTAGCTTTTTTCCATTGGCCTGTTTCAAGTATACCTCTTGACTTCTTTGGATTCTTTAAGCTAGCACCTAATTTACTATTGGATTTGATTACTCTTATCATATTTTGAGAGTCTAAGCTTCCAATTTTATCCTGCTGCTGTCTTAGGTTTTTCTGAGTAGACCTTAGGGATGCATGCTTTCCAGCTGGCAGAAATCGGGTTCCATTATTGAATGGCTTTAAAGATGGATTATTTAAATTTCTAGGGGAAATAGAATTATCTTTCTGAGTTGAAGAGGTTGAAGGAGTTATAGAGAAGTCTGGCCTTGGAGTGTTTTGAGTTATGGGAGCAGCTGATACTAAAGTTTTACTAGAAGCATAAATAGTTGGATTTAGGGGTGTTTTACAGGTAAAATCAAAGCATTCATATAGAAATCTATTATTGTTTAAATTATAGATAGTTGACTGAGGTTGACAAGATTGCTTTTGGTCTGAAACTTGGTTTACAATTGTGTTAATAAAATTAGTTATTTTATCCAAGGCTTTGATAGTTTGGCGGGTATTTTCTTTTAGTAGGAGGTTTGTTGGGGTTATACTAGAAGAAGGATGTAGAGGACCATAGTGTATAGGTTGAACTTAAAAAGTACTGGGTGATAAATATCGTTCATAAGCATTTTTATATGCCTTTGCTTTATTATAAGCATCTTCTAGAGTCCTTGGGATTAAGAGAGATACCACCCTAAACAATTCTGGACAAAGTCTCTGGACAAATAGTTGAACTTTTGCTGCCTTAAAAAATGTATAGTTTCCAAATTCCAATCGTTGAATCAAGCCTGCCATGTGACTATAATAGTCATCAACTCTTTCACCAATTTCTTGTTTCACTGGGTTAACTCACAAAGCCAGTTAGCTTTGATTTCTGGGAATACAAATCTTGTAACAAAGTTTACACAGAAACTTTGTTGAGGACAAACTTTACATCTCATCGGTCAATCACTGGGCTTTGATTTTGACGAATCCTTCACCATGTTGCAGCTGATTCCTTCAATTTTGCTGCAATAATTAGGATTTTTCGGTCTTCTGGGACAAAATTAGCTTCGAAGACATTCTCAATCTCATCTAATTATAAGATTGGGTCCTGGTCTCTTCTAGTGAATTCAGGGTATGGGACTGTATTTAATTCATAATAAACATTGGCCGGCAATGTCTGGGATACCTGGAGTAGTTGGATAAATGATACAATTTGGGTTGCTAATCCTAAATATGGGTCCGGGTTTTTACTATAGAACATACTGTTTTTATTTATTTAAGGTATTTTTTTTTTTTTTTTTTTGGTGTCAAAATTAGAAGCTTTATTAAGATATAGAATAACTCAATTCAATATTTACATATCGTAATACATAGTTAAGATCTGTTAAAGGATTCTAAATCACTTGTGTTACTAAAAAAATTTTAGGCACCTAGCGTGACACTACATCTCTATTTTATCTAACTTTTAAATCTAAAGATAATAAAATTAATAAAGATTTTGAAAGCAAATTAGATAAGAGAAAACCTTATTAAATAATAAATGATAATGAAGTTGAAAGTAGAGAGAGGTTAGAAGAAAGCCATTTATATATATAATAATTATAATCAATTGTATTTGCTAGTATAGTAGTAGAATTTTGTATAATTGGAGTATTTTGAATATTAGAAGAGATAATAATAGATTTAGATCTTTTTACTTTGAATGTTATGCCTCTTAATTGTTCCCATTGATGTTGCTTTTCATTGCGAAATTTCCATATTGTGTCTTTGAACCAAGAGAATAGAGAGTTAAAGAGATATGTACAAAGTTTTTAGATATTCAGATTGGGAATTGTTTGAAGATCATCTAGGATTTGTTTAGGATATAGTCCTTGGATAATATAAAAGAGATAGTTAGAGTTAAGAATATTTGTTGGTAGAAGGTAATGTGAGAGTTTTGAGTTATTTGTAAAACATAGTTATAGTTATTGATATTGTTAGGTGGATTTAAAGTTATAAAATTTTGAATAGTTGTATCAATAGTTTGTAAGAGATTATATTGTATTTTTGAGTATTTGAAAAGATGTAGAGCATCTTCATATTGGTTGCATTGAGTACAGTTGGGATGCAGTATTGTCAGTGGACATGGACATGTCTATGGACTGTTCATGGACATGGACATATAAAAATATGGATGCCCATATCCATGAACATATATAATATATCCATGTCCATGGACATGGACATTGGACATTGTGTCCATGGACTGTCCATGTCCAATAATTTGCTTGGACATATGTCCATATACAATACTGTTGGGATGAGTATATAGATCTGATCAACATTTATGTAGATTATTCATTGTTGGTAGGTTATTCATTATTAGTTTAGAGAAAAGTGAAAAGTTTGTAGTGTTTAATAAGAGTTTAAGAATTTTAATATAAATTTTTCAGGTAAGTGGTGATTGGTTTATGTATTGGTTTTGATTATAGTTAATCCAGTTAATTAAGTGTTTAATTTTGGAGTAATTTTTAATAAATGTACGAATTTTAAATAGTATAATATTATTGTTTTATTTAAAGTGAATAGGAAGGTTAAAATTGGAGTAATTGAAGATGATTGGTTCATTTAAAGTACTGTTATTAGCTAGATTCTTACTAATAATGTATGGTATATTTTTTTTATTTGCTTTTGTTTTGGATATTGAAAGGTGAAAAGAATTTTGAATAATTATTGTGTTTATAATATGTAATAGATGCCATTCCTTTTGGTTAATTTTAATTTTAGTTGGTGTTGAGTAGAGTAAGCATTTGATCCTTTGGACGGTAGTATAATTAGTTGAAAAAATTTCAATGTATTTGTTGGATGGAATTGATAGTAATAATAAAATAATTATTTGGAGTTCTATTCGAAGTTATTTGATTGATCAGAAATCGCTGCATTGAATTTGAGAGAAGAATAATTAAGTGTGGACCAACTAAGGTTGTAGTTGAAGAATTTGGGAGTAATGTATTTATATAATATTGTAAAGAAGTATTTAAGTTGGTTGTTATATTTTGAGATTGGCTGTATAGGGAAAATATTTATTGGATTGGAGATAAGTTTTTGTATTAGAGAATAGTGTATTGGTAAAATCGGAATAGAAGAGATAGTAGATGGTATTGAAGAAGATTTGAGATTAATTTGTAATAGTGATTGTAGTTCTAAGAGATCAATTTTAAGTGTTATTGGTATTTTTGTTAAGGATAGGTGGTTGTAGAGATTGATAGTATTTAATTGAGATATATTTGTTATTGTTATTGCATTGTCAGAAATAGTTATTTAGCCGGTTTTATAATTGTTTATAGGGAATATTGAGAAATTTGAAGGGTTTGTTGAAGAATTGTTGCGAGAAATATATAAGTTATTGTTGTATTGGTGAAGTTGCCAATAGTTATTATTATTTAAATGAGGTAAGAGATCAAGAGTATTAATAAATGGGTTTATATTGTTAAGTTTGAGGTTTGGAAAGGTTGATAAAATAGAGGAGAAAGATATTTGCTATATTGTGTTAATTAGTTAAATAGCAATAATTTATTATGAAATTATTATTCTAAAATGTTAAGTTATTAAAAAAAAAATTTTTTTGAAAATATAATTAATTAATTTAACTTGCCAGTTATAAATTAATTGCATATTTTTTCTTGTATCTAGCTCTTCAAGCATAAGACTGCCCTTGCAATTTCTTCATCGAGCCTATTTCTTGAAGGAGTTATAGTTTGCCCGGCAATTGAAAAAGCCTGCTCAGAGGCTACACTTGTTGCTTGGATACACAAATAGTCTCTGGCAATCAAACTCAATCTCGGATATTCACGTTGCTTTGTCTGCCACCAAATAAGTGAATCTACTTAATTCTCCAAAGGTAAAGACAAGTATCTTTCTAACTCATCACATATGCAATTCATCATTGGCAATGACAACTCTGAATTATTTTCTTGTAATAGGGAATCAGATGAGTGTAAGTTGCGAAAATAATTTCGTGTTTTTGATAAATCATTAAAAGAGGTTATAGTTGGTTTTGATGTTTCTAAAGAGTATCCATTAAAGTTTGATATTAGATTTATTGCTTTGGTTTTTTCATTTAGGTTTTTAAATGATGTTGATTTTATTCTTGGATCAAGTAATAATGAGATTTGAGAAGTTTCATTTAATATTGGCCAGTAACTATCTAATTTTTGATAAATTGCACTTGCTATTTGTTTTTGAGAAAAATTGGCATAATCTTTATATTTTGACAAATAATCTTGGATACCAAGAAAAATAAATCAAACATCACCATGTGTTGGATAACTAGAGACAGAAAGAAGTCGAGTAGCACATTCAATTGGTTCTAAAATAACCATTGTATCCTTTATTTTTAGTTAGTTTATTGTTAATTTGAAAAAATAATAATAATAAAAAATATTTACATTAATATTAACATGATCATATTCATTTGGACACTTTTGATAAACTAGTGGATCATCTACTGCAAGCATGGTTAGAGGAGATTTTATTTTTTTCTACTTATTTAGAATATAATACGTAGAATTCCATCTATGCCTAACATCTAGCTCGGGTGCTAAATATTCAATATCTTTCATTTCACATAGTTTTTTTAAGTTATTAATTGTAGGATGTGAAGATTTGATAAAAGATATTAATGATCGCACTTTGATAATAAATTTATCAATCAATTCAATTCCTTGACAAACTGCCAAGTTTAATACATGTGCAGTACATCGATAATGAGAAAAATCAAAATTATTAAAACCTTCTTTAAGTTCTTCTGCTACAATTGTACCACACAAAATCATTTTCTGTAGTTAAAGCCAAAGTTTTTTCAAATATATGATATTCTTCTAAAATATCATTATTGTATTAGCAATATTAATTCCTGTATATCGTTCTTTCATTGGAATGATATCAAGAAGAAAACATTTTAATTTCCAAGATAAGTTAACATAATGAATTGTGAGGCTTAAAAATGATGTGCCATTTGATGCTGTCTATAAATCTGAAGTAAATACCACTTTTCCAGGAACTTGATTCAATGTTAACTTAACTTCATTTTTTTTTTTTTTTGAAATAGCTTCATTACTTGGTCCTTTATTGTATTTCTACTAGGAAATTGGTATCGTGAATCAAACTTGGAAATCATTTTTCACCACTCTTCTCCTTCAACAACACTAAATGGTTGCATGTCACAAACTATCCATCTTATAACTAAATTATCTCTTTCTTGCTGTTCTTTTTCCGGATGAGGATTTTGATTTAAGGGTTTCTGCCCCTGCTTTGGTACTATTATATTATGCAATACTAAATGATGTCTTAATATTGAGGTTGCAGTTGTTGGTGAAAATGGCTCATTACACACTTTGCAGACAGGTAAACCAGGGTTGTCTGCTGTCTCTTCATTAAAATATTGCCATACTGGTGATTTACGTTTCTTGGTTTTATAAGGTGAAATATTTTGCAATTTATCTTGTTCACTTTGGCTAGGTAAAGAAGAACCATCCTCATCTTGCTCATCATTAAGAAGATCTGGATCCGGGGTAACTTCATAATATTTATTTTTTTGTATAACATCCATCTTCAAGTGTCAAATTAAATTTGTAAAAAAAGAATTATTACAAAAGTCAATTATATTGTTGAATTTATTCTGCTTTGCAGGATTGTAACTCTATGATTACTTCTTTTTTATGATTAAATGATTGTAATTGTGATCATAATAGCTAAGGCCGGCCAATTTATCATAAATCTGAGTTTGATACAAACTCAAGTTTATGATAAATTAATTAATTGTGGCAAGC